ACAGGGTGTTTATGTTATGGTTCTACGAGTACAGGCGTCAATAGCTCCAATCTGATCTTACTTATGTTTGAAATCCTTTTTATTATAGATCTGACAGGGTGTTTATGTTATGGTTCTACGAGTACAAGCCGTCAATAGCTCCAGTCTGATCTCTTATGTTCGAAATCCTTTTTATTATAGATCTGACAGGGTGTTTATGTTATGGTTCTACGAGTACAAGTCGTCAATAGCTCCAGTCTGATCTCTTATGTTCGAAATCCTTTTTATTATAGATCTGACAGGGTGTTTATGTTATGGTGCCACGAGCTCAAGCCGTCAATAACTCTAGTCTGATCTTTTAAATACAAATTGAGAAGCTGATAACTCCAGTCAAATAAATCAACAAATTTTTACATTTTTCATACTCCACTGGTTATTATACCTGTCCGACTACATTTGAAAAATCTAAATAATTATACAAAAAACAAAAAATAAATAAAATCTATACCATTTTCTAAGGGCCGGTTCTAGGTCCACATTGTTGCGAGGAGGGTCAGGTGGGTAATTTTCGGCCCCTTTTGAAAAAGCAACGACCTTTTGCAGGCCCATGGATCAGTTACTTTGGAAGATTTTTGGATTTAAAGTTTAAATAAATCTTGTTGTTTTGTCAGTGTTTTACTAACATTTATATAAAAGATGAAGACTCTCCAATCTGCTAATCATTTAACATTTTATAATTTGATTGGGGAAGGGGCAATACCTCCCTTCCTCCAGCTAGTGCCAGGCCTGACCTTTCTGAGTACACGTGTTATCCAAATTAGGCAATACCTTTCTGAATATAAGTACTAGGCACTAATAAATCTAATTAGAAAACAATAATAGTTAATATACCTCTCGGAAAACAAGTACGAGAAATGGGAAATTTTCGTGAGATCAAGTCGACCTCTTTGTTTACACCAGCAAATTGTTAGACCGAATGTGCCCTGGTGGTTAGCGTATCGTATTGTGGATCCGAAGATCTCCGTTTAGCTTCCCGTTGCCGAAAATCGAGGTCCACACTTTGGGCCCATGGATGGGTGACGGTCAGATCCGACTATTTAATTATATTAGTCCAAGAGCTGGTGGTGGATGCCGTTGATTGGCTGTCCTCCCTTTAGTAAATCAGCTCAAAATTAGTGATATCTTGTATTGCAAGTCTATAATATAAAATAATTTCCGGAACTTCACGATTAAAAGTACACGCAGTAGAAAGTGTGAACAAAAAAAAACGACGAGTGTTTCACACATCTCCTTAACTACACATGTATGGTTCACACATCTCCTTAACCACACATACATGGTTCACACACACCTCCTTAACTACACGTACCTGGTTATACATCTCCTTAACTACAAACGCGGGTGGTTCACACATCTCCATAACCACACATGCATGGTTCACACACCTCCTTAACTACACGTACCTGGTTCACACATCTCCTTAACTACAAACGCGGGTGGTTCACACGTCTCCATAACTACGCATGCATGGTTCACACGTCTCCTTAACCAACATGCATGGTTCACACACCTCCTTAACTACACGTGCATGGTTCACACATCTCCTTAACTACAAACGCGAGTGGTTCATACATCTCCTTAAGTACACGTACCTTGTTGGACATAAAATGACAATTATAGTATCAGATTTCACGTTGGTTTAAGGATTCTAGACTTACCCTAAATATAAAAGTAGCTCCTCCACCACCTCCACCTCCTCCTCGCCTTCGTTTGTAGTGTTTTCGTAAATCATCGATGCCCCCTCTCGAATGGCTAAGATTACATGATAATGGCTAGTACAGTAAGAAAAAATATTTCATAAACTGGTTTCGAATGCTTCCCCAGCTTTCGACATTTGAACCGTAACATTTAAATAACAACTGACTAAAGAAAAATAAAATATAATATCATTGTGAAGTTTATTACCAATAACGTTAAGTGATCTTAAAAGATTACATTTTTACACAGGTATTCACAGAATATTGTCTCATCAGTGCTATTTACAGATTGTATTGTATTTTTACTGTTGTTACACACCGCTTGTACTAGTAAACTCAGAGACGTATACGCTATCAACTGTTTGTGTTATTTAATCGGATCTATCTATTCACTGTAATCAGAAAGGTTGGATTTTATTCCGATAGTTTATTATCCAGCTGTAATAAAGGCCTAGCGTTAGCTACTGCTTGCAAGTGTTGTTAAGGAGACGTGTGAACCATGCATGTGTGGTTAAGGAGACGTGTGAACCATGCATGCGTAGTTATGGAGATGTGTGAACCACCCTCGTTTGTAGTTAAGGAGATGTATGAACCTGGTACGTGTAGTTAAGGAGGTGTATGAACCATGCATGTGTGGTTATGGAGATGTGTGAACCACCCGCGTTTGTAGTTAAGGAGATGTGTGAACCTACGATTATAGGGAGTTAAGGTAGATGAAAAAAAAATTGATACATAAGGATATATTTAAAACTTGATATTTGAAAGTCCGCTTAAAGACTTAAGCAATATCACAAAATTAAGTTATCCGGTGGTCAGCGGTAAATTTACGTACTTACAACGCTAAAATTGGGGCTTTGATTCCCCGTTGTGGACAAAGCAAAGATAGTCTATACTGTGGCTTTGCGCCAGTCCCCCAGTGCCTCAGCAGTAAGAATGAAGGCTTGTAACGCTAAAAACTGGGCTTAAATTCCCGTTGTGGGCACAGCACAGATAGCCTGTTGTGTAGCTTTGTGCTTAACTTCAAACAAACAAAATTTACACTAATAAACCAAACAATAACAACACAACGTTATACCGCAGTTTATCATTCATCTCTAAAATCAGTTCAAAAATAATTCAAATTTGGGGAAACTTGCCATAAAATTTAATATTCCTGTCGACTTCAAATTCACCCTAAAACCCGGCTCTAAACTAAAATCATTATTAAATAAAAATTACATAAAATCACACAATACCAACGTCGTTTATGAAAAAACGAGCTCCAACTATCCATAATTCTACATCGCAGAAACCGAAAGAAAACTGAAAACCGGATTCAGCGAACATAATAAAAAAAACCTCCTATGTTTACCACCATTGCAACTAAAAAAAACACAGGTATATCTATTGAAAACACTGTAATTTTAAACAAAGAACCAAACATCAAGAAACGGAAAATAAAGGAAGCCATCTTAATTGAACGGAACAGCCCTACTCTAAACTAACACCTCGTGGCACCAAGATACCTTTACCAGGCTGTTAAGCAATCTCCTGTCACGTGATCTTTTTGTTCCATACTGTATACATATTCCCATGTCTACGTAAACTACTTATACCTGATTATGTCAAAAGCTTGTCGAAACGTTGTACATTTGTTACTTGTAATAAAGATTCTTTCATTACCCATTCAAGCCGTCCTCCAAACTTTATTTTCTAAAAGTGGGTTCCTCGTCATCCAAAACTGTGCGCTTAAACAAATAAACTCAAAAATTAAATTTTATTTCAATAGCAAATAAGTAGCGCTTTCGCAAAATTAAAGTTGCAATATATCCAAAGATGATCCGATTTTGTAAGTTAACGCAGCTTCTTATCGAACTCTTCATTTTATTAATACCTGACATAGCATTTCCTATCAAACTTTTAATTCTATTAATACCTGGCACAGCATTTGGGTAGTAGGTTGGTAAAAAAACTGTTAATCTAAAAACTTAAACCATCGAATCATCGCCAACTAAAGAGCAACTTTAATTTTGTGAAAGCGCTACCGGGGGGTTTGTTTGTTTGTAGTTAAGTACAAAGCTACACAATGGGCTATCTGTGCTCTTCCAACCACGGGTATCGAAACCCGGTTTCTAGCGTTGTAAGTCTGCAGACATGCCGCTGTGCCACCTGGGGGGGGGGGTACCTTGGGGGTTATTGAACTAAAAATTCAATCTTGAGTTTGTGTTTCTTTATTTTGTTTAAACGCAAACAAATAGAACGATAGATTGTACTTATTATTTATAATACAGTAAATGAATTAATAAATTACAAGTCAGAAATCAAGTGTTATATTAGAAACTTCAAATTAATCACAAAAATATTATTTACACTACAGTTAGACCCTCACACTGGTCGTCCTGTTCCCCTGGTGGTTGCTGCTGGAGGTGGAGGCCTGTCTCACACAAGAAATGATGATTTTCGGACAGCAGTAGATCCTAACGGTCGTGGGATAAACTCGGGTTTTTTAATGACTAACGGTCGCTCTTCCCGAACCGGAGCCGGTGAGTCGCAGAGTACAAAAGTAATTTTTTTTCTTAACCGAATGAACTTTTTACAAAGGTTTTTGATATCATTAAGTCTGGAAGTTGTGTTTTGAAGGCCTGGTATTTTAATTGTATCAATAATTTTGACGTGAACAGTTTGCAACAAGTTATAAAATTATAAATATGTTTACGTTACTTATTTAAGCGTCTTAATAAATATTGTTTACTAATATATAAAGCCTTATTATTCGTCTTCGAACTCTAGGTGCCGGAGGAGGGTGGAACGACACAACTCAATATAACACTTCTGGTTTATCACTGATAGAGGGCGCCCTCGGTGGACAAGTGTGTGGGGAAGGGCAAAATTGGAAAACTGATGGCGGATTTGGGGGAGGTGGAGGAGGGTGTTCCGCAGGAGGGGGAGGAGGAGGCTATAAAGGTGTGTTCTATGATGCTACAAGTCATGGGTATCATTAATCACCAACAATATATTTTTCTCCTTTGCTTAATTATAGGATTTACAAACTCTACATTGATCTGTCAAGAAAGTTGATTTGTCAAATTATTAATAAAAATTATTATGAAAATAAACTAGGAGGCAATACTTCTTATGAAGACAGTTACTTCACCAATGGTCAAGGGGGAACGTCGTACGTAAATCCAGAGGCTTTCCTGACCTTTGCAGAACCAGGATCGCATAAAGGTGATGGAAAAGTGGATATTGTCCCTGCCCATACGGACTGTAGCTGTGAATACATGTGTGTTCTTTTGGACAATGAAAAACAAGTCGTACACTGTATCTGTCCCGACGATCAGATACTGCAGTCAGACGGAATTACTTGTCTCCATAACAACGGTAATTATTATTCATGGCTGTCATAAATGTATCCACAGAAAATTTCAAAAATGTCAATATTTTCGTGGACTTAATGGCAACAGGAACAAATTACTGTTGCAAAAGCATTTAATTAAAAACTGTTTTTGATCATAAGGTAACAATTGTTTTTGAAAAAGGTAAGAATTTGCTGAAATATTTTAATTGAAATCTTGAATCAGTATATTAACCACAAAGAAGTTAATTCTGCTGTAAACACTGATGTTTTAGGTAGTTTGTTTGTTAGGAATATTTCAGCTTACTGATCCCCCCCCCGTGGCTCAGCGGGAAGGCTGAGGACTTATAACGCTAAGAATCGGCTTTTGATACTCGCGGTGGGCAGAGCACAGATATCTCTTTGTGTATCTTGCGTTTAACGACAATGTTTATAGGATGATCTGTAATCATTATTAGCTCTTTCTCTTAAAACGCACATTACATTTGTTTATAAGTTTAGCAAATGAGTGTTTCTTGTGGAAATGTATATAACCAAATATAGCATAAAACATCTCAAGTACAGGGATTTTAATTATGCTAGATGTACCTCCTCAGGGTCCACGAAAGTGTTACGTTTCAAGAGTAAATAAAACCGAAATTAAGAGTAATAAATATTTATATTTCTTGCTTTTAAAGTTCATGTGTCATGCTGTATTGTAGCCTACAGAGTGCAGAATTTTTCTCATGATTCGTGACATGCGCACGTTTTACTGACGTCACGACAATACACTCAGATATAACAAACCATTTTGTAATATTTGGGTTAGATTACGACATAATAATGTAACTTTCGAACCATTCACTTCAACATTTTTTTTAGATACATACTTTAACTAGTAAGTTAACTTGGAGAAAGATCTTCTATATAATTATGTGTCATTGCCAAAATTTTAACTTCTTAAAACGTTAAGTTTACAGAACAAGGTTACGGTTAAGATAAACAATAACAGATTTTGAAGTAACGTGCTCACTAGTTATTGGTTTTTGTATGATGTGTACAAAATATTTTTTTTACCATTTTCATTGCAAAAACATCATCGTGATTTTACAGAGAATCCTGGTATCACCGACCACAAGAGTGACGGGTTTCATCTTGCAACACATCACCTAGTGGTGATTATTCTGTGTATCCTGGTGACGGTAGCAGTGATCTTGTTCTTCTGCCTGCTGGCGTGTAAGTTCCAGATTCCCCAGCGAGCAGAGGAGGGGCCTGCCCCTCCCGAGATAGTTTTGCAGGTAGAGAAGGACAGGAACAATTGTTGGAACAGCCGATTATATTTTGCACATATCTTAAGGGATATAGGACCCAATAACCGATCCCTTATTTAATATATCCTCAGTGGGTGAGGATAATATATGATCCGAGTACAAGAATTAATTTCTCTTAGTTTGGCTATGGAAATAAAACAGGCCAGACTATAAAAAAATCAATATTTCTATAACCTCTTTAAGCAACTTAAAAGCATTTACAAAAGCTTTTCTCTCCAACTTTTTGATGCTGTTCTTTGATCCTTTTCTGTTAGATCATTGACAATTAAAAAATTCACCTTTAAAATTTCCTAATCTCTGTATATATTTACGCTATACATTAGAAACACTTATGTATTTTTTAATTGTAATTTGGTTTGTTTTAAAGGTAGCACGCGAGACTTTATCTATAGAGCCATCAGGTAAGGATTGTAAAATTCGTTAAACTTTTATTTTTCCGTTACCTAAGGAGGTCCATTTTAATCCTCAATTGCTTATCTCAGTCGTGACTCTACCGCTTATTAGAAAACAAAACACGTTTTAAGTACTTATATCTTGCCGAATATTAATGAACCTCAACCTTTAGTTTAGCGCTAATAGAGCTTGAAACGACCCTTAGATACATGAACTGTGTTACTGGATATAATAAAACTGTAAATGGTTTAAAATATCGCTCTGCCCCCCAGTGGCACAGCGGTATGTCTGTGAACTTACAACGCTAGAAACCGGGTTTCGATACCCGTGGTGGGCAGAGCACGGATAGCCCTTGTGTAGCTTTGTGCATAATTAAAACAAACAAATATCGCCCTAGCGGGGAAGGATCCGAGATACATTAAGTAAATACTATTAAGAAGAACCTGTGTTAATACGCTCATTATAATCCGTCATTTCATTTAATTTATAGAAAAATTTAGACTTTGAGGCAAGAACAATAGAAGCTTTTAATTTTGGTAATATTTACATCAGTCTTCTTATTGATAAAGCTAAAAACTCTTTCAATAATAATTAAAATATTTTTTAAGATCTGGTGTTAATACATTGTATTAGTATTTGTTTGAATTCCGCGCAAAGCTACACGCTAGCCGTCCCTAATTTAGCAGTGAAAGACTAGAGGGAAGGCAGCTAGTCATCACCGCCAACTCTTGAGCTACTCTTTTACCAACTATTATCGTTGTTTCACAATAAACGAATTCTCATAAGGTATATATATATATTTACTTTACATATTTGTACAATTCGGTCAACATTACTATTAGCAAGTACAAGGAACACCTATAAGTGACAACTTCAGCTCATAGGTTGCAGCTTCATATTTATTTGAACTTGAATTTTCATGCACATCAAATATTTGTAACAGAAACTAAACAAAGCTTTACACATTAATTGCGTTTGTAGATATAATGATGCTATTCTTATACTTAATTATGGAAGTTATTTTGATACTGCGAAACACATTTGTCCACCAGAAGTCACTCTGAAGAAAAAAAAAAGCCATTTTTTCCTCTTTCGCTGAAAATAAAAAAGAAAACATTAAATCGATTTAGATATAATTAAGTATCGATAATGAAATATTCAAAACCAAAATTTTCAATAAAACTGGCGCTTTTAATTTTGAATTTACAAATTTCTGTTTCCGAATAGAAATCCTCCAATAGGTTATGCTGCAGCGTTTACAACTAGGAGCTTATTACGTACAATAAAATTTGTTGAAAATTACACAAGATTTTGTAGAGAGAACTAGTAAACTCATTATCATTTTGCGCAGCAATTCTTCGGATTTACAACGCTAAAATCAGGGCTTCGATTCCCTTCGGTGGACACAGCAATGTGGCTTTGCTCCCCCCCTTTACAAAACAACAATAACAACAAACAAACACACACTACGTTTAGTTTATATCGCTACAAAAAACAGGTTCCGATACTTGCGATCGACACGGTACAGACAGCCTATTGTGTATCTTTGTCTTAAATAACAGACAAACCAACAAAACCTACCACGTTTTGTACACCAGTTTTATTCAAATAAATTCAACACTCTTCTTGTTACCGAATATAGGATTAATAATTCTACAGAATGTCACGGCCTTTTCAAAGCTATCGCTACTACACCACAATTTCTTAACTACGTTTTAAGGTAATAATAACCCACGTTGGTATGACTACCAACATTAGATTTAACTCCCACCAGTTTAAGCTATCGGTAGAGTTAATGTAAGCTGTTTAACAGTTCCCTATGTAGTCATGGGCGTCCACAGAAATTTTTCCAGGGGGGGGGGGGCAAAGTAGTGTGAAGTGAACAAAAATATTCATATACATACGCTGAATGAATAAAGAACGAATTATGTTTCCCATTTTCCAGGGGAGCAAAGGGGCATTTCCCTCCCCCCCCCACTGCGGACACCCATGTATGTAGCGTAACATTATATCATTAGTTAAGTTACTTTAATTGTCATATTTATCATTGTCATTCCTGCTTTAAATCTCATTATTATTATTATCTTCTTTGAACCATATTATCTATCGCGTATACCTTTCCGCTAATTCTTGGGGTTTAACTTTATTATTTCCGACTTCCCGTTCTGTAGATTGACCTTGTGTGTAGGGAATGATTCAATTCGGATTAGTTGTACTTAGTAAAATATTTTATTTTTATCAAATCTAACTCGTCTAGTTTAATTATAGTATTAATATTTTTACCATTTACCGTGGGCCGGATGTTGCGTAGTGATTAGCATGATGGACTGTGAACCTGAGGTTTATGATTCTCGACCCTTTACCAAAATATCGTGTGAATTCTGTTAACTGGCTTTAGGTAGTCAGCGATAAGTTCGATGGTTTATAACGTTAAATATCGGGTTTCGATACTCGCGATTGGCGCAGCTTTGTCTTTAATAACAAACAAGCCTCCAGTCTATTACTGCAAAATTAGGAACGGCTAGCGCAGTTAAGCCTTGTGTAGCTTTAAGCGTATATCCGCAACAAACTATTTAAAGTACAATTTTATTATTCATTATTTCTTATCTTAATTAACATTAGGTTTTTACTGTACTCTATCTGTACCGTCAAGCTAACTGACTCGATAGTGAAATAGTAACATGTATCGTAGTAATTTATGTCAGATATTACACCATCGAACCTGTTTAATGGGCTTCCATGGGTCATTAGACATTGTTAGGGAGGATTAGATTAAGTTTAGTCAAGTTAAGTTTAAAGGGAATCATCTAGTTTCTACATGTTTGGTAAGTAAGCTCTATTCCATTCTTTCCTTAATGTTACTTTCAGCAGTATTATTGATTATGATATTTAAAACATATAATGTATACATTTTGTTTTTATTTTTCCATTTCGTATTACTATATATATATATATTGTGAGGATTAATCTGTATTGTTAGCTTGCTATATATGGATTTAGGACTGACCTAAATTTCGTAAGGTGTCCGATCTTCGTGAAATATATTATTGGAATTACGACCGAAAATGTCATTAACAGGAGAGTGTACCCAGCTGATAAATCAATGCATTGTAATCATTATAAGTAAAAACGGTATGTTAAATTAGCTATATTTAATACTAGGTTAATCACTAGTTCTGACTTATATGGGTAGCTTTTAATTAGAAGTTAATAATAGTTCTGAAAAAGATTGTGCAACTATCGCTTTTTGGAATATTTTAATGATCATAAGAAATACCTTTCTAACCTTTTTGTGACTTACCAACGGGTTAAAGGACCATAATATTGTGACGTACTAACCAGTTAAAGGACCATAATATTGTGACGTACTAACCAGTTAAAGGACCATAATATTGTGACGTATTAACAAGTTAAAGGACCATAATATTGTGACTTATTAACGAGTTAAAGGACAACAATAATGTCACGTACTAACAATTTAAAGGATAATATTGTGACTTACCAACGAGTTCAGAGATTACACATGATCTTGGCTTATTATCTGTTCGCTACACACGAAAATTATAATGTTCAGGATAATAAAAAGCACCAAAATGCATTATTCTGTATAAATGATGTATATCTTCCTAAATTATTCCCGGTTGTGATAAAATAATTTGAATACCATGTGCTTATAGACTACATAATCATTCAAGTTGTTTCTTGTTATTCCACTGTTCCACGCTGTGAGAGTATTATTGAAAAGAATGAGGGGGCGCTGCAGAAGGGATTAGTAGAAACGATAGGCATAAAGCTGAACTCCAAATTGGAAATAGTTTTTTACTCAACTAGCTTCTTCAAGTAATCTTCTAAATAACCTTTACTCAAATAATTTTTCAGAGTAATTTTCAAAACCAAATAAGTGTTATTAGTTTATAATTAACCAAAGTAAGAAGAAAAATCGGGACGTTATAGTAAAACTAGGAAATGCCATAATGATAAAGGCTGTTTCGACTGTGATCCAATGAAAATGAAGTTTAAAAACATAATTTTGTTGATGTTCTTGTTCTTCTTGTCGTTTAGTTAAAAACACGTCACGTTTGATATGCTACATAGGCTTTTAAGTCATACGTTATTTCTGTATTGAATATATCGAGCTTAACAACGTTTAATATTGTAACATTTTCTAAAACTAAATGTTATCCAATAACTATTTGTGGGTAAAATAGTCACAGTAATTTCACTTTTTGTCTGAAATGGTTTCTTGTGTTGTGCTAATGTATCTTTTCTTTATTTTATCTGTAATTTTTCACATTTCATGTCGTTTCTTGTGTGTGTGTTTGTGTTGTTGTTGTTTATGTGCTAGTCTTTTTAAAGTATTTTCACACTTTGTATATTTTATATCTAAATTTCTGTCTTCTGGTACGATTTTAAATGTTCTTCATTGATCATTTTGATTTTGCAAATAGTATTTAAAATTAAATAATTCAAGGAAATACCCCATTATGTAAAACTTAAAACTCGTATATTGTCGGATATACAGAATATAATATTTTTGGTTAAACTTTTTCACCATTTACTAAAACTGGTGTTGTACCTGATGATGCTAGGTTAATCTGGCGGAATGTTATAACCACAAATATTATACTTGTATCTCAGACAATAAACAAGTTTTAAGTATTTGGAATTATTTATCATTTAACCTCAAAAATGTATTATTTAAATATCGATTATTCTTGGTTTATATTTGTATTTTCCATTGTCGCAGATACATTTTACTTTTTAAATGTGTTATTTTTTATTAAATTATATTATAGAGAAACGAAATTAATTTAGAGGTAATTTTTCTTTTCTCCAGTCAATCGATATCGAAAGAAGGTTAGCCGTAGCATGAACCAAGAGCCCCTTAATAGTCCTGATCTTCAACTCAGTTGGATCCGTCAAAACAATGGCGGCATGGTCACAGAGTATAATCCTAACTACGAGTTTGGTGGGAGCACGTATACCATCCAAGATTTGCCAGAAATACCCAGAGAAAACCTAACGCTGGTCAAGTAAGTTATTATTACTTCGGCCCCCTTTATTTAGTTCAAATTTGTTTTTTTGTCTTCTGGAAGATTAAAGGATGCTGTTGTAGATTTGCGCCACAAGAATGTGATAATATTCGTAACTTCAAAGTAAAGAAAACTTTACGTCATTTAAACCTTTTTTTTCTCTCTCTCTTTGCTGTCACTAACGCACTGTAGCGTTTATTTGGGAAATCCATTCAGGGCGGTGTGGCGCTCAATGGGCGGATCCATCCAGGGTGGTGTGGCGTTCATTTGGGAAATCTATCCAGGGCGGTGTGGCGTGCAATGGGAAGATCCATCCAGGGCGATTTGGCGTTCATTTGGCGAATACATCCAGGTCAGCGTAGCGCTCATATGGTAAATCCATCCAGCAATCTTGTCAATATTTTATAATTTTGTACTTTTTTGTGTCATTATTTTATGGAAACTTGTAAAACACCTTAGAGTTAGCGAGAAAGTAGCTTAGAAGGTTCAGGCATATGTATAGTATCGCAAATTTGAACTTAAGATAACAAAACAAAAATCCTATCCTTTGAACCTCATTTTTTCCTATCATTATAGTGTTGAAAAATGTCAACATTACTGTTATGAAGTGCCTCGTCGCACATACTTGAGGACTACTGGAATTCGAAGAAATTCCGTTATAATTATCTCATATTTGAATGTTTTTATAACACAGCTTTTTTTATGCATCCTACCTTTAACCTTTGAGTCAGCATAAATTGTAAAAAGCAAAACAAAAAACCAACTTCAGTTGTTTGGTTGTTAATAAGCCCAAAGCTACACAAAGGGCTATCGGTGCTATGCCCATCACGGGTATCAAAGCCTGGTTTCTAGCGGTATAAGTACGCAGACATCCATTGTGCCACTGGGGGGGGGGGGCAACAACAACAACTTAAGTAGTCGTTTATGTTAACAACAACAAAAAATCAAAAGAAATAACTCAAGGGTGAGAGAACTATAGACGAAGTGCTGGCTAGTGGAATACGTTGTTAGTAGCTCATCGAGACTGCCTTCCAATTATCAGGTGTGGGGGTTTATTTTTTATTTAATGTGTTCCCAGAGATACTCACATACTCCAGAGTATTAGTTTATTTGTTTTGTTTATTTGTTTGAAGTTAAGCACAAAGCAAGACAATGGGCTATCTGTGCTCTTCCCACCACGGGTATCGAAACCCGGATTCTAGCGTTGTAAGTCCGCAGACATACCGCTGTGCCACTGGGGGTGGGGGGGGGGCGTATTAGTTTATAAAATGAAGCAAATCTAAATTATTCAATACTTTTATGGCTTTTAAAGGTTAGTGATCAAAATCTTCTGTAGACTGTTAAATTACATAAAGAAAAAATTCAAGTGTTTTAGTTCTTTTTTGTCGTGTTTGGCAGAGCCTTGGGCCAAGGAGCTTTTGGTGAGGTGTACGAAGGGTACCTATCTAATGTACCAGACGAGCCGTACAACATGGCGGTTGCTATAAAGGTAAGCTAAATATTTTAGTTTCGTAACTCAGTGGAAAACACTTAGTACTTTCTGTGAATATTTACAAAAGATGAGCATTATATTAGATATTAGGCGTATAATGGAATGAAACTGGTTTTTGATGTGGAGATATTTGATGGGATCACCTCATTCATAATTCGAAATAACTCAAGCCTAATCAACAACTTTATGTTTGTTCACAGCTGGTTTTGAAAATGAAACAAATACACATTTTAAAGCTGCAAATTAATTAAGGACAGGTGCAAAACTTGTGTAAATAAAGAAGGCAATATCTAAGTAGGTCTCTCATGCACCTTATATTGTTAGCACAGGGTTAAGATTTTTTTGTGAGTAATTAAAATGATCAATACTGCCCCTGTTGTTTCATGTGTTGGATAATGTAAGATTTTTTTGACACCACTGTCTCACCTGTCGTTTAATGTATGATGTCATAGTCAACAAACGAATTAGCAGAGCTCCGTTTACTTTATGTTATACTTATTGATCATAAGCACAAAATATACTCGTACTTCCACAGAAACAACGTTTTAGTCGTTAATAAATGCTATCCCTCTTAAAAATTAGCTGTTCAAATTGAACCATGTCAAGCACCGCATGGATAAACGTGTTTTTTTTTCTTTTTTACAAACCTATAAAGGATAAAACATGTAAAATATGAACTATTAAGAAGATACTATGATTCAACGAATAACTGTATTTGGCGTCGTGTTTTTTTAAAGAGTAAAAGTTAATATGTCGTATAGTAGCGCGCCATCTGTTGTCGATTAAAAAAACATTTCGTTTAATTTTTAACATATAGTAATATAATTTTGTGTTTATATTTCTAAACATTACGTGTAGAGGCTTATCTCTGAACTTTGTCTTTCTGAAAAGTTTAATCTCTTAAATTTATCGTTTGTTAAACTCTGAAAATGTTATGCTATTCTTTTAATATAAAATCTTAAAAGGTTTGCCGCTAGAAAAAACGAATGATGTTTGTTTGTAATTAAGCACAAAGCTACACAAGGGCTATCTATGCTCTGCCCACCACGGGTATCGAAACCCGGATTCTGGCGTTGTAAGTCCTCAGACATGCCGCTGTGCCACTGGGGGGCAACGAATGATGTGTTTTTAATTAACCCTCTTAAACGAAAACAAAATTACATTATTCTTACGTATATTTATCTCCTCGTTCTAAACTCTTTTTTTTTATAAAATTTTATATTTCTTTTCCATGTATATGGTGGGTTAGCAGTAAATGTACGTACTTACAACGCTAAAATCCAGGGCTCGATTCCCCGCGGTGGACATAGTGAAAATAGCCCACTGTGCGTTAAAAAAACAACAATAATGTATAAGAATTTTGATTGCTTAATTTGTACTTTTCATAGCATAACAATAAAATATAATGCAACAAATGAGACATCCCATAATATCCTATAACAGCTAATTATTTTTACATTATTGCTCACTTATAATCAACATTTTTTTTTCAGACACTTCCCGAATTCTCATCTAGCCAATCAGAACTGGACTTTCAGATGGAAGCGCTGATCATGAGGTAATTGTTAATTTTGCTTACAATATAAAAATATTCTCATCTAGCCAATCAGAATTGGACTTTCAGATGGAAGCGCTGATCATGAGGTAATTGTTAATTTTGCTTACAATATAAAAATATTCGCATCTAGCCAATCAGAACTGGACTTTCAGATGGAAGCGCTGATCATGAGGTAATTGTTAATTTTGCGTACAATATAAAAATATAACTTGATTTTGAAAATATGTTTAAATGCCTTATCTGATTTTTTTATTTTATCATCATCTGTATAATTCGTTCGATTCTATTACAGCAAGTTCAGCCACTCAAACATTGTTGGTTTTATTGGTGTATGTTTCGAAAAAATGCCTCGGTTCATCGTGCTGGAGTTGTTGGCAGGGGGAGATTTGAAGTCCTTCTTGAGAGATTCTAGGCCTAAGCCGGTAAAATATGTTATATGTTGTTGTTTTTTTTGTTTGTGTGTTTTGCTAATTTCATCGTTGTCGAATACTGAAAGATAGTAAGATATATTTACACATACATATTCCTCTTTACATTCTCGAGGGCCTATTTTATTTGTTTTTATTTTAGTTGTATTCTTCGCTAACATGTTTTTGTGGTAATTTTCCAAGTTTTATATTTCATTCCATTTTGTTTTGTTTTTTTGTACTTTTCCCGCAATCAATTTTTTTTCGCCCAATGGGTAAGTTCTTTATTTTGCACTAAGAGATGATGATTTAATATAATTAGAACTATAATAGTTCAGTGTGTTAAGTTATCCCTCTGATGACTCAGTGGTGAGCCTGGGGGCTTATAACACTAAAAATCGGGTTGCGATACATGGGGTGAGCAGAGCACAGATAGCCCATTGTGTACCTTTGTGCTTATCAACAAAGAAGTGTTAAGCAAATTTTATGTTGCTGTTACGTTGTAGAATATGTTACGTGATTCAGTGTGAGACTGAGCGCCAGCTGGTTTGATGACACCATTTTTTGTATTGACTTCAAGGTTGGTTACACAGGCCTGCGATGGTTTTTGGTCTTGAAATTTCCTTTGTACTACAGTAATTCCTGTACACTGAATCCGAAAATGATATCTATTTTTCTCCTTCACGTAGAGATTTTTTCACAAAACTTCATATGTACTTTTACATAAGTGAATCATTTTAATTGAAATCGGGTCACATTTTGTTATACTAAAAATGTTGACAACCACTGGCTAAAGATTTCTCTAGACCAATCGCGAAGTGAGAATTCTATTGATTGTTCTAGAACCCACGAGAAACACACCGCTAGTATATAAACGGTTAACAGGCCGCCTGACGTGTCATTTCTGACGTATTTGGTTGTGCGTGCACTTTGCCATTATTGTTTTCTTTTCAATATTATTTATTCGTCGCTATAGCAAAAAGAGGTTGTGTAAATGACCCAAACACATTCTGTTATTTTTGTGGTAAATGTGTTGTAAATTTGATCTCAGTAAGAGTTCTTTTTTCTTCCCGATTTGTAAAAAAGTCTTTACATGATAGAAAAAAAATGAATATCATTTTCGAAATCTGCGTAGCTGAATTACCGAAAACCCGTTATTAAAACAAAATCAGTTTGAAGTTTGAATTCGCAGGCCTGTGTAATCAGCTGATTTGGAAGAAAACGTAAAATAGATACTCTTGTTAATTTAAATTGTTTATGTAATCAGCCAAACCATACCAACAGTATCTGTACTGCTTTATTCCACATCTTATAATATTTTTGTATTTTGTTTTGTTCTAATTGTACTGTCTTATTCGTAAATAATCGTGGTAAGTTATTTACTTTTTTTTTTTGTAGGATATGAGGGCATCAGTAAACATGTTAGATCTTCTGGCCTTAGCTATGGATGTTGCCAAAGGTTGCCAGTATCTGGAGCAGAACCATTTTATCCACAGGTTAAAAATCTTAGATAACTGGATTAGAGAGGTTATTTTAGAACATCAGCTGCAGAAGATTTTAAATTCCATTCAGTTAGATAAATTTCCGCTTCTGGTAAAGATAAAGGACAGTTGATATTTGACAAAATCTTCCAAGTGTTGTAACTTATATAACTTACTAACTAGAAATGTGATTTCATTTGAACATAAAATTAGAAATACTTCACGTATCTAAATATCTCATATTAATTTCCAAATTCATGGGTATTAATTATTAGAACTAAACAATAAATATGTATTACAATTAATATATTCAATATCTTTGAATTTTTGGAGAGAAAAAAAAAGATGATGATTATTTTTACAAAAGTTACATACTTAGTTATTCTTAGAACTTACAAGTGAAAACGGAAAAGAATATGTAACAATAAGCCAACCACACGGTGGACACAAAAAACCGCACAGAAGATGTAAGACAAAGTTTAAGAAAGAAAAACACACACTACATTCGATGGTAATAAAATCGAGGAAAACTTTAATATGACACAACTTTTCGGGCCTAAACCCTTCTTCATTAGCAGTCAACAACACGTTACACCTTGTACAAGACCTCAGTATTACTAAAACTCAGTAGGTGAAATCAAAGCAGTAATGTTGACTTATTACTAGTGCAGATTTCAGTATAGAAAGGCAGAAATAAAGGGTCGGAAATGAAATAGTAAATCGAAAATACAATGAAAACATATTCCTATCTTTATACCACAGACCTTGGCCCGAAACGTTGTGTGATATTAAAGTCTTTATACCACAAACCTTGGCCCGAAACGTTGTGTGATATTAAAGTTTCCCAGATTTTATTTCTATCGTATCTAGTGTTTGTTTTTCTTTCTTCAACCACACTGTACGTCAACCTCGTTTCGTCCTGGTTTGAGAATAATTGACATATTTTGTAACTGAACTCTCGATACCGCGTTAGAAAAAACCGTCACGGAATAAAGCTGTGTTAACAGGGAGTATAAAGTATTTTCATAAAACAATGTTAGAAATCCGAAGTCATCCTTTAGCTTGAAAGTAAATAGGCCTTATTATTCTTTCTTACTCGGCTGACCTGATGGTCCTGGAGTGGCCGATACATAGAAGTTTATCACAATTTGGAGAGTAAACAATGACCTCAGTTAAAACTTTTTATAAGTTTCTACAATGCTTCAAACTGAAAATATGAACAAAATCCCATTCCAAATAGTAAGTTACTATTTTAAAAGCAAAAAGTTCGAAGGTAGGGCACAAGGGGGCATCACACTGTTTCACGTTGCAATCAGAAAGATCAAGCGTGTTGCCTTGTCACCTTAGAAATTTCATGTCAGATTCACCTATTCAGGATTACACCTGTTGCGGTTAGTGATAGGCGATATACAAGCATGTTTGTGGCCTTGAAAGTTTTTGCCAGAAAGTGTTAATTTCCAAGTGAATACGTTTTGAAGTATTCTATTTAAAGATATTGTACTTTATTTCTGGAATAAACAATAGCTTCTATTTTGTTTTTAGCCGCCTTGATAAACTAGGGGGGGGGGTTATTGTGAGAATACCCCCATGCTGTAACATTCCAGGGGGGGCTTAGTGTAAGATACCCCCCTTCTGTAGCATGCTCGGGCCGGATGGGCTTAATGTGAGAATACCCTCTTCTGTAGCATGCCCAGAAACATTTGATGAAGAACATTGTTTCAAATTGTCTAATATGAAATTATATTAATCTTAAACATGAACTAAGAATTTATAGCAACAAAATGTTTCATATGAAAGGGTCAAATTTAATGTAACGTTGCCTGTTAACAGGTTTGTTGGCTTTCTCTCGAGACAGTTAAATTGAAATATCACATCAACAACTGGCATAAATGAAAATGTACTTTTATATCACTGTTTCTGTACGTGTATTTATCGCAATGCTCGTACAGAGCTTAACAGATTTAAGTGAAACGTTTCGACTTCAGACGTTTGATTTTGATAAGTACGGTTATAATATTCCTGTGTAGGGACATAGCTGCAAGAAACTGTCTTCTCACGAGTAGAGGACCTGACAGAGTAGTGAAGATTTCAGACTTTGGCATGGCAAGGGATGTCTACAGGTAAGTTACTGGACAAGAAACAGAAGGAAGGTAAAATGAAATTAAAAAAACAACTAAAAGTACAAAAACCTTACTATTATCTTAAAACTGACTACTGTAGTTACATTAAACACGTCTTTGTTTTCCTCTAAAATAAAGTGAAATACAATAAGACGTCTACCTTTTTGCATTGTTAATTGCTCTTAGAAAATAATGGGGTTCAGTTTTGAGATCGTTGTCTAAACTGTATTAATTATAGGTCGAACTAATTTAATTTATACTATATATGTATATCTGTCTGTCTGTTTTCAAGTGTGTACATGTATAATTTTGTCTAATTTCCGTTTCTATTTTATCAGTTAATTTTACCAAGTTTTAGGTCTGTCTTTGTACAAACACACCTCGAACTGGATCATAATAAAAGTGTCAGTCAAAAGTACAAATATACTTTTATAAAATACACAGTTAACTGCCGAAAACGAAGAAGAAGAGAAGTAATTGGAAAACAGTTTGAATAAACGTTTTGAAAACTGGGGTAAAATTATATAAAGAGAAGTGGAAAACTGTTGACTAAACAGTTTGGAGAAACTTCGTGAGACCCATTATTATTTCTAGACTTAGTAAACAAATACCAGCCAGCTGTTTATAAAAAAACAAGGAATGGCAAAGTGTCACATAACAATATGAATACATTTTGTGAAGTTTAAGACCAGCTCTAGAATGTGAAAAATAGAAAAATATGCACTAAAAGTTTCCGATAAATAATAAGATAGAGAACTTTCTCTGGGAAACAATAAATGGAAAAAGCTTCGTTAGTTTGATGCACTGAATACTATTTGGCCAATCGCGTGATACACTGATTACTATTTAGTCAATCACGGTGCAAAAAAAAATCCTCCCCGAATTACTATACATAATAAAAACGGGAATTTTCCAAATTCCACATAAGTTTGCTTCCAGTTTCCGATTACGCAACATAACTCAGCAACTTTAGAATAGATCGCCCGATTATTCATCCATAGTTTCTTAAGTTTTTCAGGCGATCTTTTATTGTACATTATTATCTGTTATTATTTGTTCTCTGAAGGCCTGTTCTTTCTTATTTCGTTCACCACCACAACTAAATTTGGCATTCATTATTACTCTGAAGGTTCGAAAACCAATGGTGCATGGCGTTATTTTGAAATATAGTTATTTTATCCACTAGTTTACTGCGTTCAATTCCAACATTCTGAACTGCTTCCATCTGAAACTTAGCATATAACAGACTAATTTGTTTTTTTTACACGTTTTGTTATTTATCCAATAAATATTACGTTGCTTTATTCTCTGTTTTCTTTTCGAGTTCACTCTACTGTTTATTGTCTCTACAGATTTGGAGAATATAAACGTAAAACTGTTTCAATATTGTGACAGTAAATTTCAAGTTGTGTGGATTTATGTACCACAGCAATGTAGCTAGTAAAACTGTATTTATATTTTTTCTTCTAATGTTTGCAATCGAATTTGAGGTTGTGTTTTAAGTTAGGCCATGTTAATACCAATAAAGAAAACGTACTACATTATTTAAAGTTTTATAAGTGGATGAAACTTATGTGTATCACCGAAGGGCCGACTACTACAGAAAGGGAGGGAAAGCAACGTTACCAGTGAAATGGATGCCACCTGAGGCTTTTCTAGATGGAATATTTACGTCTAAGACTGATACTTGGTAAGAGGTTTCGCATGTTCTATAGTGTCCATAAACGTTCACAAATCAATATATGCACGTAACTCTTAAAGAACACACAAACAGATTTGTTAGTTTTATTTTATTCAATCAATTGTCTATTTAACTTTGAAAGTGGTTTTGGAATAACAGCAGCGATGTTGTCGAACCTTATTTCTTTAGATAATCTGTTCGCCAAGTTTGTACTGAGATTCACTGATTAACGGACAGATGCAAGATTTGTTCGTATCATATCAAGAATTTTATGTTCAACTTCAACAAGTATTAATCACAATTTTAGCAGTGCTGATGAAAGGTTTTACGAGTTTAATACCGTGTAGACTATGTTAGACGGTGGAGTAGGAAGGTGTTTAACACTAGTGGTAGTAGTGAGGAGTTAATACCGTGTAGATTATGTTAGATAGTGGAATAGGAAGGTGTTTAACACTAGTGGTAGTAGTGAGGAGTTAATACCGTGTAGATTATGTTAGATAGTGGAATAGGAAGGTGTTTAACACTGATGATGGTAGTGGGGAGTTAATACCGTGTAGATTATGTTAGACGGTGGAGTAGGAAGGTGTTTAACACTAGTGGTAGTAGTGAGGAGTTAATACCGTGTAGATTATGTTAGATAGTGGAATAGGAAGGTGTTTAACACTGATGATGGTAGTGGGGAGCTAATACCGCATAGATTATGTTAGACGGTGGAGTAGGAAGGTGTTTAACACTAGTGGTAGTAGTGAGGAGTTAATACCGTGTGGATTATGTTAGATAGTGGAATAGGAAGGTGTTTAACACTGATTATGGTAGTGGGGAGTTAATACCGTGTACATTATGTTAGACAGGAATAGGTGAATGTTTAATACTGTGGTAGTAGTGGGGAGTTAATACCGCATAGATTATGTTAGACAGTGAAGTAGGAAGGTGTTTAACATTGGTAGTGGTGTGGGTTTAATACTGTGTAGTTCATGTTAGACTGTGGAGTAGAAGGATGTTTAACATTGGAGGTGGAAACAGTAGTCGGATTTGACATGTTAGCATACTTATTAAACATTCAGTAGTGTATATGCGTGTGTATTATTTGTGCTAAAAAAATTGTCAATTATGCAAAAATACTTTCTTCGCAGACTGACGACCAGCGAGCGGCACTAGGTTATAATAAGGATAGTTTTATATAACACGATCGGCGGCACTAGGTTATATAAGGATAGTTTTTATATAACACGATCGGCGGCACTAGGTTATAGTAAGGATAGTTTTATATAACACGATCGGCGGCACTAGGTTATAGTAAGGATAGTTTTTATATAACACGATCGGCGGCACTAGGTTATAGTAAGGATAGTTTTTATATAACACGATCGGCGGCACTAGGTCATAGTAAGGATAGTTTTTATATAACACGATCGGCGGCACTAGGTCTTAGTACGGATAGTTTTTACATAACACGATCGGCGGCACTAGGTCTTAGTAAGGATAGTTTTTATATAACACAATCGGCGGCACTAGGTCTTAGTAAGGATAGTTTTTATATAACACGATCAGCCTTTCTGTGTGTCTTTCTGTCTAAAACACAACTTTTTGAAATACTGGGAAGGCCAAAAGACATTTTGCCCTCCTTAAACATTACTTGAAGCCAGTCCCTCCTCCACCAAATATTTTTCTTCCAGTGAACAACACTTGCTTGACAATAAATTATATATTACACAGTTTCTTACATTAACCAAACTGGATTATCTCCCGGTGGATCAGCGATAAGTTTCCGCACTTTCAATGCTATATTCGGGGTTTCGATCTCCCACGGTGAACTGAGCGTAGATAGACTATTGTGTAGTTTTACGATAAAAACAACCAATAACCCAAATGGGAGACGTTTACAAAACTACCTATTCATTCGAGTGTCATACTTTTTTCTTTATCACATTTGAAATCTCGCTATGGGTTTAAAAGCTTAAATGCTTCATGATTTTAATTCTTTAAAGATGAATTTGATTTTAGTGTCAATAATACAAATTAGACATCGCTAAGTTAGATTATTGAATGATAATATTACTAAAACTTCTACTGATTGAAGAGTGTTAAAGTAACGACTTGATATACGCTATTAAGTTTGTTTGTAATTAAGCACAAAGCTACACAATGGGCTATCTGTGCTCTGCCCACCACGGGTATCGAAACCCGGATTCTAGCGTTGTAAGTTCGCAGACATGCCGCTGTGCCACTGGGGGGCACGCTATTAAGAGTTCAAAAGTGATAAAACTAAATTTACTTCCTCATGGTCACCGAAAATGTTCTATTTCAAGAGTAAATAAAACCAAAATTAAGAGTAACAAATACTTTAATTTCTTGCTTTTGAAAATGTTATGTTATGTTGCAGCCTACAGAGTACATAATTCTTCTCGTAATTCATAGCATGCGCACGTTGTACTGACGTCACGACAGTACAAATTGCAACGTTAAGCGTCCCTCATGTGACGTCATTTTAATGTCTACTGACTGACTGACAGATAATACACTACTGTTTAGTGGTACGAGTGGTTAAAACAGGTGACCCCTTGGGGAAATAAGTAAAGGACTTATGAGCCTTGTTTTGTTTCGTTCAATTCAAGCTATGTTCAAGCCTTCATTTTCCAATAATTGGGAAAAATGGTTAAAATACTTTAAATTTATTAAAATACAGTCTAATTTAGGATATCTAATTTGATCTTGTTACCTATATACTCGTTAGATGGCAGGAGCGTCAAAAATATTATAATTGAACAGTATGGACTATATCTGGGGTATCTGGTTTAACATTTTCCAACCTTTTGATGCAAATTTAAGCTCAACAAGAGTAATAATCAGAATAAATAATAAATTTAATTCAGGTAAGCTCCTTAAAACATGTTTGCTAAAATCCAATAAAGAAAATAATGTTATTTTTTTAAACTATTTCGAAATAGTAAAAACATTTTGTCTGACAATATGAAATTCAAAGTTTTATATTCTGGTATTGCTTTCTAGCATGTCGATAGGTTTGTTGATGATTAAGTTTTAGAGCTTATCACATGTTTTGCTCATCGAATTTAAGCAATTAATCATTCTAACCCGTGTTTGTATTTTTATCTATTTGTACATGTATATATATACATATATATTTCTCTATACCAAGGTCCTTTGGCATATTGTTGTGGGAAGTGATGTCTTTAGGATACATACCATATCCAGGGCGTGGAAATCAAGAAGTAATACAGCTAGTGACCTCTGGTGGTAGACTTGAGTCTCCAAGGAATTGCCCAAGTCCAGTGTAAGGATAAAGTCCTAAACACATTACAATTTTGTATGTTATACACACGTCACACAAATGTGCAGTAGGTAGCTATTATATTGTGTGTAAATGTGCATATGAATAAATAATTTATAAATTTAATGTGTGTGTGTATATAACTGGTGCGTTATGTTATATATAATATAGGGTATATTGTGGAGAAATTTTTTACTATAACGTTAACAAACAAACAACAATTAGGGGTATATTTTGAACAGATATCAACCTAGAGTTACCACATACGTGGCGCTGTATGTTTAAATTTAATGTATTAACTTCTGCTGTTTTATGCCGCTGCTAGGAATGTAAATCCTTCAGGCTTGATTAATTTTGAATATGCAGTATTTATCTGATTCAAACTAATTATAAGTTAACGAATTTTGTTTTGTAGTTTGAGCGTAAAATTCCACAATGGACTATCTGCGCTTTGCCCACTGCAGAGATCGAATTTAGAATTTTAGGGTTATAAATCCTTAATCTTAGCGCCAAGTCTTCAATGAATGTTATTGAGAAGTAAACAACATAAACATTTAATTCACTATTTGCATAAGCTATGATTACAACTTGTTTAATCATTTAAACAATTGTTGGTGTTTGTTTGTGTAGCCTGTGTTTCATCTTGTCAAAAAGTTGTTTGATCTTTGAATTTCAGGTATCGAATCATGACGCAGTGTTGGCATCAAATTCCAGATAAAAGACCAAATTTTAGTACTCTCATTGAGAGGCTCGGTTACTGTATGCAGGTGAGTATATTATAGATATCCAATATTTTCCTTTTTATCTTTAAGAAATAAATATAAGTATTCGTTTATTACTAAGACGTATTATAATAAATTATTTAAAGAGAAGTAAGGATCGATATATACCCAACATAGCCAACTATAGTAATAAAGAAAGTTTTAACGCTACAAAAAAGTATTGAAACAAGAAAGTCAAAACTAAAAAACTAAGTTACTTAGAATTTAGAAAATGTTATCCCTACTTTGGCAAATCACTGTAATTATGTTAGTCTGGGCCACTGTAAAGATATTTTTTAAAATTTTAAGTAACAGTTTTTATGATTTTGGCTTTCTTGTTTCAATACTTTTTATAGCATTAAAACTTTCTAATACTAGTTAGGTTACTTATATATCGAACTCTGCTTGTTTTTATAAAAGTTAAATTTTTTTTCATTATACTTGTTTCCTTTGAGCGAAATTCAAAACAATCAAATAAACAATACTGTGAAATAGTCATTGTTAATATTTAGACATTTTAAAGGTAGTTTTAAACGGACAATTTTCATGGCCGCCATTTTGTGTCATGACGATCTGTATTAAGTACTACAGTACTTGATGATACCATACAAATACAATACAATAGAAATTATTAATAACCCAATAATTTTTAACTAATCCGGGTTAATAGTATTAATTATTTAGTATTAAATTAAATTTAATTAGTTACGTTTATATTGAAAAAATAATTCATGATAGAATTTTGATATGGGTTAATAACATTGATTATTTAGTATATTCAGGTTAATATAATTAATAATTGGTATATCCTGATTAATAACATTAAGTATTAGGATCTTGTTTTATCAAATTTAACTTAAAAACACCAACAATACATTTTGTTACCTTAAAAATTTCCTATGTTCGTGACTCAATCAAAAAGCCTCTTACAAGTACAATAAATTTAGTTATATTATTTTCGTTTTCGTATTGTCCACAGTAAATTATTAAATATTGTTAGTGCTAAGTAATAAAAATGTTTATGCATGATTTCCCTTTTAACTATGGGAATTTTATATTTTAATCCTTGTATTTTCTTAGGATAAATATAACTTTTTTATTTGTAAGTAATAACTTTTATTTTTTACAAGTAATAATAATACTGTGTTACAATATTCATGTAATATTTTGTTTCATTTTTATAATAATATGATATACTTTTATAATGTTATTCTGTAGTGAAATAATTGGCTTTAGTGTAGTTGGATATGTTCCTCCCCATATCCGAATTCCATATTGAATTACTTACTTTATCAATGAAAAATACAGAATTCTGAACATCTTGAGACATAACAGTTTTTTCAGCAATATATTTTAATGGACATGAATCTGATTGATTTTGCCAAATCTTTAATATCTGGCCCAGCATGGCCAGGTTGTTAGGGGGGCTTGACTCGCAATCTGCGGTTCGCGGGTTTGAATCTCCGTCACAATAAACATGCTCGCCGTTTCAGCCGTGGGGACGTTATAATGTTGCGGTCAATCCCCAATATTCTTTGGTAAAAGAGTAGCCCAAGAATTGGCGGTGGGTGGTGATGACTAGTTGCCTTCCTTCTAGTCCTACACTGCTAACTTAGGGACGGCTAGTGCAGATAGCCCTCGTGTAGCTTTGCGCGAAATCCATAACAAACAAACAAACCTTAACATTTTGTTGCTAGCTTAAATTCTTATTAATTTGTAAGTCTAAATATTTTGTAAGATCAATTCTTCAATTTGCAAACATTTACAATTATCATTGTCTATACACCCCTTATTATGAATATACAATTTAAAATAATTTTAATCCACAATCACTGTATTTTTACCCTAAAAAATTACGTATTTTGTTTTGTTATATTTATATTAATTGATGAGTTATTTTAAAAAAAATTATTCTGAGTTTTGTTTTTAACACATTTTCATACTTCAGTGATAACACAAAGACAGCCATCACTTGTAAGTCTGTTGCGTATGCATGTGGAACGGAAATACTTCCTATATAAACACACAAAAACTATTTTCGCATGTTTGGCCTGGCATAGCCAGATGGTTAGGGTGCTTGACTTGAATTCGGAGGGCCGTGAGTTCGAATCCCCGTTTCGCTAAATATACTCGCCCTTTCAGCTGTGGAGGTGTTATAGTGTGATGGTCAGTTCCACTATTCGTTGGTGATGACTAGCTGCCTTACCTCTAGTCTTTCACTGCTAAATTAGGGACAAATAGTCCTCGTGCAGTTTTGCGTGAAATTCGAAACAAACTTTTTATGTCACTAGTGAAATATAGGGCCTGGCATGGCCCGGTGGATAAGTCACTCGACTCGCAATCCGAGGATCGCGGGTTCGCGTCCTTGTCGTACCAAACGTACCACTTGGGCGTGGGGCTAGCAACTCCACCCGGATAACAATCTGCTACAGAAACTGCAACAACACTTCCGTCGGCGAAGTGTTGTTGTAGCCCTATGTTCCACTAGGAACGACAGGAAGAAGAAGAAGTGAAATATATGATTATCTGAAGCTCTTATGAATCGTTTCTATCCTGATTTTTTGCATTAAACAATGTCTGGTGTTGTATACTGTTCCTTATTATTATATCAGTATTACATACTGATAATTTCATGTTATACACTGACTTAAGAAGTGGCCCCAGTTGTCAGAGGTAAGTTTACGGACTTACAAATCCGGGATTCGATTTCCCACGGTAGACAACAACAACATCTTAAGGAGCGATATTATGAAAATATAAAATCCCTTTTCTATAATGTCTACACTTATTGAAATTTTATTGACACAAGAACCAAAAGTGTTTCTTTAGATGTTTAAAATCTTCTAGGTTTTTCTTGCTTCTTGGTGACAGGTCCAAAGCTGAAAGGTGAGCAGGATAATAATAAACAAATTCAAGATTAAAACACACAAGTAATTTAGATATCCCTCCTCTCCTTAGTTGTAAATAGAAATGCTTATATTTTTTAAATATGATATTGTTCCCAAACAAGAATTCGAATATATATAGAATAATGTTTTCATTTTAACGTAAGGTGACGTTAGTGTTTCTTTTATCCAACAGGTGGGGTTGGCAAACGGTATTGCTGTGCAAACTGAGCTCGTGTACACGTTTTGTTTATGAAAAACTTTACTGAAACTATCTGAGGAAGCTGAGTCAAATTAATGGCTAAATTGAGTGTAGACCGCAAACTAACTGGTTAGGTTTTGTTTTAAAATGTCAAAGGTGGAGGTCACATCAGAAGCCAAAGTCCATAATTAATATTTTAGTTTGTGGCAATTTAAAGAAATCCTCCAATTCCGATACAACGTTCTTCAAAGGATTGGCCTTGTGAAGCGGAACACGCGAGTTTCTTGACACACTAAGTTGTGTATTTCTGGGTTTTGCGTGGTCACAGTGGTTAATGTGCTCGGACTGTGACTCCGAGGGTTTAGCGTTTGCGTCCCATTGCCGCAGAAACCAAATCTCGATCATACAAGCGTAAGTTACTAATGGATGTAATCAACTAGCTGTCTTCCTGGTAGTCTACCAGTTCGAATTAGCAACGTCTATGCACAGACATCCCTTGTGTAGCTTTGCGCGAACATTCTTAAAGAAAAACTATTGTTTATTTGTAATAATGGTTACCACTAGAGCTTGAAAGTAACTGTATGTTATTAAGAATAGTAAGTTTTTGTGTTTACTAAACAAGTATTAGGTTATGAGTCTTTCTCAGATCAACTAATAATCGTACTCAAGAAACTCGTTGCCAGAGAGAGTTGGGGAACTTGGTGCAAGTCTAAAATATTGGATACTTGTAACAGCTGTTTCATTGTAGTAATTTCGCACATGTTACATGTTTCCCCCACCCAGTGGTTAAGCGGTAAGTCTGAAGGCTTATAACTCTAAAATACTGGTTTCGATACCCTTGGTTGGCACAGCACAGACAGACCATTGTATAGGTTTGTGCTTAACAAGAAACAAACAAAAAGAACATTATATGGCAAAAAAAATGGATAATTCGGAAAAAAAGACAAGGTTTTGTTACTAATAAAGTTATGATATTTAAAATCGCTAATTAAAACCAAAGTTACATGCTCTCAAAAACAATGTTTGCTGTCTTGTGAGGGACCCTTCACGTAACAACATTTTCACAAATTACTTATATTCTGGAGATTAATTTTCAGATACCCCCTAGTGGCTTAATGGTAAGCTTGAAGGCTTATAACGCTAAAAATTTGGTTTCGTTACCCACGGTGAGCATATCATTGTATAGCTCTGTGCTTAACAAAAAAACAAACAATTTTTAAAGTACATAATATTATAATTTTTATTGTCTCGGGGACACAGAGACGGGGAGGGGGGGAGTATTTCCGAGATGTTGTACACGGTGGCCAATTTGTTACGGGAGCCCTGGTACACACAAACGCACACTATGGCAACGGCCCTGATGGTACAGTTTTTTACTCCAGCATAATCATGTATAAATATGAGTTAACATTGCAAGCAGTGAATTTTAGTGGGTGGGTTTATGTCATATATGTTTCATATACATAAGAATAGTTTTATTTTGCAGATAGACAGGTAGTTTGTTCTAAAAATGCTCTACTGTTTCCATAACACGATTGCATTCAATTGGTTAGGACACAAAATTTTCTTTGTGTTATCCTTCTATAGTACTGTTTATTTGTTTTTTGAATTTCGCACAAAGCTACTCAAGGGTTATCTGCGTTAGCCGTCCCTAATTGAATTGATAAGACAGAGGGTGACGGGGATTCGAATCCTCGACCCGCAAAAGTGCGAGTCGAGCGCCCTAACGCCAGGCCAATGCAACACTCTGTCATAGTGAGACACAGTGTCATCCTGTTCTTGTACAGAGTTTGCACTGAGACATAGTGTCATCCTGTTCTTTTACATAGTTTTATACTGAGACATAGTGTCACCCTTTTCTCTTACATGGTTTTTGTACTGAGACAGAGTGTCATTCTGTTATTGTACATAGTTTTGTATTGAGACAGTGTCATCCTGTTTTTGTACACAGTTTTGTATTGAGACATAGTGTCATCCTGTTTTTGTTCATAGTTTTTTACTGAGACTTTTCGTTGATTGTCTCTCAGGCTTGTTCTTTTATAGAATAGAACGCATATTCTAAGAACGTCTGAGTGAAATCAAATCAGAATATGTTGTATTATGTCAAACACTATACATCTGTCATATCATTTTGTCCAATCCCAAGGCTCATCAGGCCTGCTGGAATACCACAGACATAGTACTGTGCTATGCGCTATTTATGTAATTAACGTTCACGAAAAACGATTGTTATGATATGAATTATATTAAGTAAGTTAATTGTAAATATTATGAAAGTTTCATCTAAGTTATTTACTAATCAGAGTTTTAAAGTAGGAATAAATAACACACTATTATTTATTTATTTTATACTTAGCTTCGATTATTTAGTTATAATTTTACATCTAGCATAAACTGTTTCTTCGTTTGTTATCTTACAGTTTCTTCAAAATAAGATATAACGTTTTTATATGTTTATGGAAATATTTAATTTTGTTTTGTTTGTTTGTTTTGAATTTCGCGCAAAGCTATCTGCGCTAGCCATCCCTAATTTAGCAGTGTAAGACTAGAGGGAAGGCAGTTAGTTCATCACACCCCAACGCCAACTCTTGGGTTACTCTTTTACCAACAAATAGTGGGATTGACCGTTACCTAATAACGCCCCCCACGGCTGAAAGGGCGAGCATGTTTGGTGTGACGGGGATTCGAACCCGTAACCCTCAGATTGTGAGTCGAGTGCCCTAACCACCTGGCCATGCCTGGCTATTTAATTTTGTAATAAGACGCATGATTTCCATTATCAACGGATTATCGAGTATAAATGAGTAATGAATGTCTGAAGAAGGTGTCGATTAGGGTCCCTGTGGCTCCGTGTTTTTGTGATTCTGAGTAATGAATGTCTGAAGAAGGTGTCGATTAGGGTCCCTGTGGCTCCGTGTTTTTTGTGATTCGCGCCCCATTATTGCCAAAAGAAAAGAGAAAAACCGCGCTTCGCACTTTGGGGCCATGGATGCGTTATGAGAGTAGCTCACGAGTTGGCGGCAAGTATTGTTGACTACTTTCCATCTAGCTAGCGCAGGTAATCCTCGAGTAACTTTGCACGAAATTCAGCAACAACAACCAGTCTAAAGAATATTCGTCTCTGATATAATTTTCACATTGATTATCACAGAATAAATGCTGACGTACGATATATTTTGTAAAACCACAATTTCAGTAATGATTTTACAAATTGGTTGAGTTTCATGTCATAGTTGTATGCTCAAAGAAGAATTATACATATTTAAAAATACGCTTGTTTTCAGGATCCTGACGTCATCAATGCCTCTTTGCCAGTGTTCCGTAGACCCCCCTCAAGTGAACGTGACATTACCGTAATGAGACCAACAGATGGACAAAACATTTGTTTACAGGTATATAACGTTTTATAAGTTTTGTTGGAGCGCCAAATGCCTAAGAAATCACATTTTACATAGGAAAATAAAGAAGAGAACTGTAGCTATCTTATTCTCGAGAATCTCATGTTTATATTTGATTATTTTAACTTACTTGGATACACCATATAAAATAATGAATTGGATTCAATGTTGTACATGACATAACACTGAAAGCAGGAAACTTTATAATATATCGTTAGGTACCAATTATAAACGTATTTGCGTGTAGATAGTTCTATATTTTGGCTAAAAACCGCGTTTCGATACAAGTGGTGGGCACTTTGTGTAGCTTTGTACTTAATAACAAATAAACAAAACAAGACAAATATTTTCGAATTAAAAGAAACATACAGGAGCCAAGTTAAATGACTTAAACCGGTGTAATAAATATTCCAATAACCTGTAAGTTAATTACTATGATATCTGTATTTTGAGTTAACAGTGAAACAGTAGATGATGATGACAACAAGATATTGATATCTTTATATTGGGAAGTTGATATTTTCCCCTCGGAAGGTCGACATCCTAATGGTCACTCATTATATAGATAACGATCCACTTAAAGAGGTTGACGTCCTTTTTCGGAGAAGTTGATGTCTTCCGATCGAGACGTCATAATCTCCGCATGAGATTGGTGATGTCCTCTAATTGAGAGGTTAATGCTATCCACTCAAGATGTCACGATCATTACTTAATAGGTTTAAATTCAGATATTTTTTTCGCTTAGAGATAAGTCACATCTTCCGATCGGGTAGTCAATGACTACCACTTGTGAGGCGATTGCCTTTACTCAGATACTAATGTCAGTCTTGAGGTAGATCAGAGGTTCTTGGCGTTGGAAGTTAATGTTCTCTAGTAATGAGGTTAATGTTCTCCACTCGAAATTTAGTTGAATAGAAATACTGGATCAAATTATATATGTTAATGAGTTATTACTTTCAGATGAACGTTAAAAATTGTTTTTAATTTTCCAAAACCGTATGCAAGCGTGTCAAAAGACCTTGTTTATGGCTGACCTGTAACCACAGATGCAGATGAAAAAACCTTAAAGCTATACATACATACATACACACACACATATATATATACAGACACACAAACGTTAAATACTGTTTAAATAATAACAAGAGGGCTAGCTTCTCAACAGATAAACAATCAGTAGGGATTTAATATTAATGACTTATGACCTAATTTTCGTGTCCTTCCATCAATTATATTTAAGCCTAATGAAATACTTACTATATAGGCCTACTTTTATGGTTAATGTCGCACTAGTTTAAAAATTTAGTATTACTAACGTCACTGTGACTTTTAAGGTTTTATTATTATTATTGATACATTAGTGTTCAATACACATGTAAAAAGTGCTTACATAAGTGCATGTTACTCTAATATTGGACATGAATAGTAATATTAAAATTAAACTTACTTTTACAGGTTCAGAGACCAAAGAATGGGCTAAATTCTCCGGGATCTGAGGATTATCTCATGCCGATGCCTTCTTCCAACTATAGCTTGAACACGGATAAAACGGAGGTTCAGTCGTCGTCCAGTGTGGAGTCTCTTGAGAAGCTTCTGCATCTGGAAGATCCTTCGATTCATCGTCAACGTAGTAACGCCGCCGAGTTGAAAGACCCATCATCTGATGTATGGGAAACCAGCTTCGTCGAGCCAGGGACTTCTCAGACCGCCTCGTCCTCCCAATCGTTACCTAATGGTCATCTGAGAAAACGACCGAAAGGTTATTCTGAGATACCAACGTATGTGGAGCTTCCACCACGCCCATATTCATACTACAACTGTGGAAACAATACACCTAAGGAAGGTAGCAAACACATCCACGGAAAGGAAACAACAAAACGGACGAGAAGTCTAAAATCTCTAGACGCACTTCCGATTGCTCTAGGTAATAACGACGTTCCTCCGCCAGGTTGCCACATTCAACAGCCAAACGGACCGCTTGACTTAGGTATCTTAGGATCCAGTGACCACCCAGTTTCAAGTAATCACGTTCAGCAGTCAAACGGACCGCTTGACGCAGTTGCTCTGGGACAGCAGTCAAGCCGCTATCCATTGGCTTACATGAATGTTGATGTAAACTCTAACACTAAATACAATTTACATCAGACTGGAACTGGGGCTCAGCGAGAAAATAACGTAGCTTCGGTCTCTGCAAGACTTGTGAACACCGACGAATGAGAACGTTAACTATTGATACCTGAAAGTGCTTCCTGAAAGTGACATGAAAAGAGTGCCTCGTGAAACCTAATGATCCCTACGGAATACATTACTACCTATACTTCCCGCCATCTAGATTGTTGATAGCTACGAGTTTCATCCTTCCCTCTGTATGACGTAAAATATCTCAGAAATATTGGTTTGTTTGTAGTTAAGCACAAAGCTACACAATGGGCTATCTGTGCTTTTCCCACCACGTGTATCGAAACCCGGTTTGTAGCGTTGTAACTCCGCAGACATACCGCTGTGCCACTGGGGGGCAGAAATATTGGTAATTAGGAATATTAGTGACCCCTATATTGATTATTGAAAGTACTTCTCGACCCTCATTATCCTATTAGAAACAAGCAAAAAATAATAATTAATTAAGAAACGAATACGTTTAAAATGCTAATTAAACAAACACCTCTATACCCAAGAAACAAAAATCAATAGTGAAATACTTTAATTTCCAAACTGAGCTACGTTAGCTTCTCCGACTTGGAAATCTCTGCTCAACAAAACCTTGTATGTGTGAATTAACTATCCCAGAAAGAAACGTGTTTGAATACAGAACCGAGACGGTAATTTTAACATGTAGAATGAGATGAATTATTTACCATAAAATTAATTATCAAATATTGGCATGAATACATACAAACACTTTTTGTTGTTGTCAGATTAGTGTTTGCTGCCAGCTCTTTAATCAGGTGACAGATTTGGTTGACTTGTGTACGTTATGTTCATCTAGTCTGATGTTAATTTAGTGTTCTTATGTCATGTTTTTATTAGTATGAATGTTTATCTGTACCTTTGATTTATTGAAACTGATATATTTCAAATGTCTTCTGAGAATATGTTTTAACTCTAATAAAAGAAACGGCTCGTTTTCATTACAGAATTTCTGTTAATTTAGTAGAATAGTGTTTTTGTAAACAATTTCTTTAAACACTTTGGCATTCTTGTGTCATTTCTTGTGTGAAAAAGATGCTGATAATTTGAAATTTTTCATCATATGTATATGAAAAGTGTTTTAACCCAACTAGAATAAACATTGATATAATCCATACACACACGTATGTATACAGTAATTAACCATTTGAAAAAATAAATATAAAACCACATAGTTATAAACTAAATATTCCAAAGATATGACTCATTAATATTCATCTTAATCACCAGTTTTCAGAGGATACTATCTTTAAATAGTTGAAACATTGTATCTGTAGCTTACACCTGCTCTATATCATTTACATACTAGTCATAAGAACTTCCAAGAGAAGCACAACGCGAATTTTACGAAAACTTTTAAGTGAAAAATCATAAAAGTAAGATATACTGATTTATTTTCACACAAAACAATAACATCACGTATTAACAAGATTTTAACACTTATTTTAGGATGTATCCCATTAAACTTATAGATATTGGTATGTGTAAGAAAATGAACAGAAACAATTACGTTTCACTATCTTCCACAAAAGTTCTTGTTAATCGTAGATTAAATTTATATTAAATTTATATTGGAAATTAAAAAATAAGACAGATAAACACCGGACATCTGTAAATTATTATATATATAAGTAGAGAATACAATCACAATAATAAACAGTTTTGAGTTACAAGAAGGATGTAAATAATTATCTAAAATATTTTAGACATTTGTAACTGATATTATGATTGCTACTTGTAAAGATACACCGAGGTGTTAACACTAATACATCATATTCTCTCACGTTTAAATGTATTGGTGTCGTATTAACTGTTTTTTTGGTAGATCGGTAATATTATTGTTATACGGTTGTTTTGTTTAAAATCGTGTGTTAATTTTCTGTTAACAAGTAAAACTGCTGTGAGAGTTTACTTTGAAAGTTCTAAAAACATTCGGAGTAGAACGTTGTTCTGTCTGCTTTATGTATTCGAACTAATGAGTCCTGGTTTTGTTGTGTATATAAATATTTACGTTACAAAATAGATAGTCTTCGGCGTCTGTTTGTCTGAGTTCGTTTCCTAACACTTCCTTTTTTATCTATTTTTGTCTTTCAAAGCTGCAGTATTTCTACAAATCTACTTGCCCGGCATGGCCAAGTGGTTAGGGTGCTGGACTCGCAATCTGAGGGTCGCGGGTTCAAATCCCCTTTCAGCCGTGGGGGCGTTATATTCGTTTATAAAAGAGTAGCCCAAGAGTTGGCGGTGGGTTGTGATGACTAGCTGCCTTCCCTGCTAAATTAGGGACGGTTTAGCTTTGCTCAAAATTCAAAACAACAAACAAATCTACTTTTCATTATCTTCACCATTTTAAGTTATATAATTGCTTCCGCCATTCATATTTGTAAAAGGGAGAAAAAGATTGGATTTGATTTTTTTTTTCAGTTTCATCATTTAGTACTCTATAAATCATGTAGTTAAGATATTTTGAGCACTATTCTCTTTGCCTACAATATATATAGGGCCTGGCGGTTAGAGTTCTTGACTTGTAATCTGCGGGTCGCTGGTTCGACCTACAATATATATACATAGGGCCTGGCGGTTAGGGCTCTTGACTTGTAATCTGCAGGTCGCTGGTTCGAATCTCATCACCGAACATGCTCGCCCTCTCAGGCACGAAAGCGTTATAATGTGATGGACAACCCCCCGTCATTGGTAAAGAGTAGCCCAAGAGTTGGCGGTGGGTGGTGTTGACTAGCTGTCTTCTCTCCAACATATCACTTCTAAATTAGGAACAACTGGCTCAAATCATTCACGAGTAGCTTTTGCGCGAAATTCGACAGAGAAACTATATATATTTGAAATGCAACTATATATCAAACATTTCCAATGTTTTATGATGTTTCGTTTCTTTGCATAATTTTAGTATGTCGCCCAGTAGCACTCTGCCTTGAACTATGTGTTTTTCGGAAACCTCTCTTATTAAAAACATAACGTGACAATGACAGCTGATAACTAAAATAAACTTTAATTATATAACATTTCCCTCACAATTTGAAATATTTAATATAAAATAGTTTTTTTAACTTGGAACTTCAAGAATAGAACTCTTTTTAATTATATCGGTAAGTCTACGGACTTATAACGCTAAATTCGTGGGTTCGATTTCCCTCGGTGGACACAGCAGACAGCCAGATATGACTTTGCTATAACGTTTGTTTGTTTAAAGTTAAGCACAAAGTTACACAATGGGCTATCTGTGCTCTGCTCACCACGGGTATCGAAACCCGGTTTCTAGCGTTGTGAGTCCGAAAACATACCGCTGTGCCACTGGGGGGGGGGCATTGCTATAACGAAACGCACGCACACTTAATTATTATAAATTAATAATACTTTCTTAAAGTTTGGATTTACACTAAGCTAGCCTAGAAAAGGAGCAAAGTCGTATTCTTAATTAATCAAAAAGCAATTTTTTTTGACTAAACATAGTAATCATAATTTTTAAGATATACCATATTGTATAAGTAATTGAGCTTACATAAAATAAGTCCTTCGAATGAGTAACAGAAAGGCTTTGTCCTGTTCGTAAATGAGTACGAGTTTTGTAACTGTTATTGCCATCATATACAAAGTTTTGTTTGTTTCGTTTGATTGTTTTTAGAGTAAAGCCACATGGAGCTATCTCATGTATACATCGCAGGGAATCGAACCTCAGATTTTAGCGTTGAAGTCTGTAGACTTACCGCTGTCCAACTGGGGGATCCTACACAAAGCATCTGTAATCTCAATACTCGTATTTAGTTTAAAGGTTTGAGACGTGCTTAACAAGTTACAAAGAAATCACATCAGACACCCACAGATTAAATAAATACAGATTTGATGTTTGTGGAGTATACTGTGGTTATTCACAAAACTAGACATTGGACTATCTGTGCTCTGCCCACCACGTGTATCGAAAACTGGTTTCTAACGTCGTAAGTCCGCAGACACTCCATTGTGCCGCTAGGTGGCATATGCTATGGTTTCGTCATCACTTATTTGTGTGTTTTTAGTTGTATATTTGTAACAGAAAATTACTGACCAGTTACTCTTATGTGTTAAAAGATTTATAATTTGAACATGACGTTTTCTAACTTCTGTCATATAACGACTATGATGTACAAACCAAAAATAATATAATCAGTGGATTGTTGTTTTAATTAACACCTCTTTCTATAAATTATATTTTAATCCTGGAGTATATGGATGTTGATATTTTCCGATATAAATATTTCGGGGGTATTTAGGTATTAATATGTGCGGGATATTTTCTGATCCCCCTTTTTTTTCGTATTTCAACATTTTATTTTGGTGTTTATTTTATGGTATGGTAACAGAAATTACAAGTTGTTATTTATCATCTTTTAGCTTTTTATATAAAAGTATAGTTTTATTTTGCCGTATCTTCGTGTATTTTTTATAGCTTGGTAGCAATAAGTACCTGACAAGTTTTACGGTCCTCTTTTACATATTTCAACAGAATTATGATTTTATCTTTTATACTGTCTTTTAGCATTTCTTAGTTTACTATAGTAACGGGAAGTACCTAATTTTCCAATCCTCTTTCACAATTTTCAATGTGACTATTAAAGACAATTTGATTATTTAAAAAAAACTGCTTTAGCTACTTCGTGTTTTGTTTAGACATTTCATGAGAATCGTACATTAAACCTTGTGTTCCATTAATGTTTGTTATTTGAATTCTGACTCAGAAACGGAATATCAGTAATCAGTTACTTTCTGTCCGAAGGATTTTACATTTCAACAAAATTGTGTCTCTGTTACATTAGAAATGGTGTGGAAGCAGAAAGTGTGGAAAGAGTTGCTTCTAGTCTTAAGTTGTAAGATCAGTATGTTTGGGATTTTAAGCAAGACGTTTAATAATATTCTTTTAGAAGCTCAAAATATACATAATAACCATAGTATAAAATTTTTCAAACACAAAATAAGTTGATTTCCAACTCATTAGCATCATGTCATATCAACTAAAGTTAAGTTGCTGAAACAAACAACTGTGCATCTCAGTAATTTTATTATCCACAAAAAAATAGCAACCTTTTTCCATTTTACCTTTCAAAATAGATTATATTGTACAGTTTCAGTGTCTTTAATTGAGATTATATATTCTTAAATCAGTGCAAATATATACTTTTACAGATAAACTAGAGATTGTGAAGAACATAAGATTATATTAAATAACTGCTTTGCATCATCCTCACGTTCGCAGTCCTTTAGCTCATGCTTTAATCCACCTACATCACGTACCTTAGGCAGAAAGTTCACAAACATCCCTCTCGCTATGACGTTGTACGGTTGCTATGACGACACTTACGTATCCTTGGATGCAACACACGTAACAAGACTAGTGACATCATTACTTCTTTAAACGTAATGCAGTGCGCGCGTCTACAAACTCGAACTTTGAGTTTCCTGACTTTATTCAAGTGCTATGTTAGGTTTTGCTGTCTTTGGTCTTTTGTTACAGACGTATTTCCTTCCAGGAGCCAGTGAAAACGAATCTTGTCCTTATGAACGAGGTCTCCTAGACTGAATTATTGAAGGTAAGCATTGAATTTAGAGAAAACATAAAGTGATTTCTTAAAGATTTTCAGAAGTAATGCCTTAAAGTTCCTATTACAGAGCTCTTACCGAGAAAAACGAAAACATCGAATTAAAAATCGAAGACATTTACACGAAAAAGTGTATGCAATCAAAAACTTACGGCTAGATACAATAGGAATATATGTATCATATTCAATTAACTGGTTGCGTTCCAGCTGATTCTGTAAACCTCTGTTCAATGAACGGATTGATTTACAGCTGATTCTGTAAACCTCTGTTCAATGAACGGATTGATTTCCAATTGATTCTGTAAATCTCAGTTCAATGAACGGATTGATTTACAGCTGATTCTGTAAACATCTGTTCAATGAACGGATTGATTTCCAATTGATTCTGTAAACCTCTGTTCAATGAACGGATTGATTTACAGCTGATTCTGTAAATCTCAGTTCAATGAACGGATTGATTTACAGCTGATTCTGTAAACATCTGTTCAATAAACGGATTGATTTCCAATTGATTCTGTAAACCTCTGTTCAATGAACGGATCGATTTACAGCTGATTCTGTAAACTGTTTTATGAAGGCCTATTATATTTTTAAACACTACATTTTTTATCTAATCCCTTAGGGATTTTCAAGAATTAGAAGAGTGTATAATAATAGTATTTCAACCATACTGTGTTCGCCATATCCATTGCCGACGACGCGTTTCGCTCAATCCAGAGCTCTTCAGGCCGGCTGGGATACAACAAACACAGCAGTGGTTAAAACACTATTTAAATAAGCCATTTCTTTCAACAACAAATGTTATGTGTTTGTTGTACGTCATCGGTTAAATAGCAGTTAGGTTTGGTTTGGTTTGGTTTGAATTTTGCGCAAAGCTACACGAGGGCTATCTCCGCTAGCCGTCCCTAATTTAGCAGTGTTAGACTAGAGGGAAGGCAGCTAGTCATCACCACCCACCGCCAACTCTTGGTCTACTCTTTTACCAACGAATAGTGGGATTGACCGTAACATTATAACGCCCCCCACGGCTGAAAGGGCGAGCATGTTTGGTGTGACGGGGATTCGAACCCTCGACCCTCAGATTGCAAGTCGAGCGCCCTAACCACCTGGCCATGCTGGGCAGTTAGGTTTGATGATTCGTTACGATTTCTCAGTCTATAAAATTGAATAATATGGAAAGTTCAAGCATGTTAAGTTTAAACAAAAATGAACATTTCAACAAGTAGTGAAAGGATAAAACCTTGTTTTTAATTCTGGATAAAATAAACTATATAAAAATGAACATTTGAACAGGTAGTGAAAGGATAAAACCCTGTTTTCAATTCTGGACAAAATAAGCTATACAAAAATAACATTTGAACAAGTAGTGAAAGGATAAAAACCCTGTTTTCAATTCTGGACAAAATAAACTACCTTTTACTTAAAGTGTAGACGATTGTTAAGGAAAATATCCAACTTATGCTAAATATGGCATTAGTTATGTCTAATTTTGATATCCGTTTCACCATAGCTATGCTATTTAACTTATTTCATCGGTTCTCAGATGTGCTATGCAATGAATATACACAAATAGCTTCAAAGTTGCGTACACTTCATAAAATACTGTAAGAAATAGATATCACACACAAGGCTTAATATCATCAGCTTCATATTGTTTATACGTAAAATATAAATAATTTATGATTTCAAATACAATAATACAAAAATACATCCATTAGGTTTTGAGCCAAAATAGCAAAGATATCTCTGCAGATAACATAACAATGAGATTATTCATACAAAACAATAATGGTATTTTATGTAGAACACAACAATAGTGTTGGTATGGAATAAAATAATGGTGTACTGTATTTAGTACAACAATGATATTTCCTATTTTAAAAGCGCTTATGTTATGTATTACAACAACGCTATATTTGTTTAATTAAAGCAGCAGCGACATCATATTTCAAACAGTCTATGTAACATGAAGTATAATTTCGTATTATTGTGCGAATAATATCCAGTTACATTTACAAGTTATTAAAAGTAGTCATATATTGAAAATATTCGATACATCGAAAATTAAAATGTAAGTTAAAACATGAACACAGTATTTTTCTAATGAATAGAGGTGTAGTTTACAAATTCATATATGCAAGTGAAGTTGGCTGAGCCTTGCAACCTGGAGCCCTGTATCTGATTATGTAAGCTAAAACATGAACACAGTATTTTTCTAATGAATAGAGGTGTGGTTTACAAATTCACATATGCAAGTGAAGTTGGCTGAGCCTTGCAACCTGGAGCCCTGTATCTGATTATGCAAGCTAAAACATGAATACAGTATTTCTCTGATGAATATAGGTGTGGTTTACAAATTCATATATGCAAGTGAAGTTGGCTGAGCCTTGCAACCTGGAGCCCTGTATCTGATTATGCTAATTAATGTATATTATCTGTTTGTAGTACAATGGTTTAGTCTTGGTGTCGTATGTAGCCTGGTTGTTTTATCTGATGGTTGGGGTGATATACAAAACCTGATTGTTTAAATAAATATGCACATGTGATGGTGCTAGTTGGGGTGATACATAAAACCTGATATTTTAAATAAATATGCACATGTGATGGTGCTTGTTGAGTCTTAAAAGTTGTAGTTTGGTGAAGTAAAGTAAAAAACATGATAGTATAAGTTATGGTCCATGTGAGATACGCAACTTGCCCGTGTATCTAAAGAAGCTAGGCGAGACACCTGATCAAGTGGTGTATCACATGGTGCTGGTTGAGGCTTACAACTTGGAATTGTATCTGATGGTGTTAGAAATAATATATAATTTAAGTGATTTTAGGGGTGTTACGAATTAACCGTGTAACGTATTAGTGCGTCCGGTGGTGCTGGTTGAGATTGAAAAAACCTGTTTTATGTGACAATTCCAAGCATTCGATTGAACTTTTTTAATGAATATAATGGTATTCACAATTATAATGCTACATATCGATGCTTTTTTTTTAATATTTTGTCACATTTTAGCCGTTTACATTCTTATTTGCTAAAGTAACCTTTTTATAAACCATATGGCTTATTTAAGAAATGGTTATTTGTGGTATTTTAATGGTATCACTAATACACTTATTTTACTTACGTTACAGTATTTTTAGAAACTATGTTTATTTCTTGCATTGTGTTATATGTCCAATACATCTGCTATAGCCTCCCTGCAAACATGACTTAAGATGTATCAATTCTCCAGTTGTTGCCCGTCTAGGGTGTGTATGTCTTCCCATTGGTTTATTGAGTTTTGGTAACTACCAATTTGAAGTTGTGACGTAATCGACTTGACTGTGATTGATTCAGCTAGCTGAAGCGATGATACCTGTTAGGTTATACGGGGCCCAGACGAAAAGACTAGCTACAGCCCACCCCCACCCCCCAGTGGCACAACGGCATTTCTGCGGACTTACACAGAACACAGATAGCCCATTGTGTAGCTTTGTGCTTAAAACAAAAATTTGCTAAAGACTTTAGAGAGGCCGGCTGTAATTAACAAGCAAGAAGTTAATATATAGCTTTGATTGTTTTAGTTGTGTTGTATCAACCCATTTGCCGACTCACCGATCAATTCCTACAACCATCCGATTATTGTAGGAAGTACTTTCAATCTCTACATAATCATTTTTGACAAACTATAAAAAAATTCTGGATATCTTTTTAGAGCCTATGACGAAGTGGCTAGAATCTAAAAAGACAATATTATGTTTGCGCATTTATGACGTAAAATTCGGGGTTTGGTCATTGATGGTGGGTAGAGTGAAAAACAATCTTTTAAAAAAAAAGATATTAAAATATGACTTTATTAGATCAAACTTATTTTTAGTGGTTGATTGATTTTCCCAATTCGCTGCATTCACTTAAAAAGAACAATAATTAGTTCCAGCATTTAATAACTTCCTAATTTTCGTTACTTTTCCCTGTGTAACGTGTACATATTTGAACAATCCACCATCTAGGTAACAGGTTGTCTTTTACTAATTAATAGTGCATTTTTTCTTTTCTTTTTTCTCCTAAACAGTTAAAAGTGAATGGAGCCAAAGTTGGTATTTTTTCATACAGAAGGTGATAGGTTCATTAAACAGTATTTAGAACAATTGAAATTGTTTAATATAAGGTATTAACTTTAGATGTGACTGCATTCTATAGTTGTAATATACGTCGTCTGTTTCCAATAAATAGATCGAAACAGGAAAATGAGTAGATACGAGCTGAGGGCTATGATTGCAACAGCTCAGTTCAGTCACTGATGACCATAACTTGAGTTATTTGTCATAAAAAATTAGTTATTGTTATTTCATTTACTTGATTATAAATTGTACATGTGCATAACGAGTACTCGTATTTACTTATTTTAAGAACCCATGAGTGAAAGGAAAGGAAAATATGTTATAATATGTCAACAATACTACATTTGTCATAGCCAGTGCCGACGAGGCCTTAAGCCTAATACTAGGGCTCACCAATCCGGCTGGGATATAACAGAAACAGTAGTGGCTTAGGTGTTATATGTATCATCAGTGTTCATGAACAACGACTGTTATGGTGTGAAACAAATTAAGTAATTGAATTGTAATTGTTATTATTTTATTTAGGTCGTTTACAAATCAAATCTTTATGGTAGAAGTTAACAACACAACATTATTTATTTTGACTTTTAACACCAATTATTTATTTGTTATAAGTTGCAGCGATGCCGAATCATGATTCCATGAAATAATACAGAGTTTACGAACTCAGGACACCATATGAGACAACTGTAGCATCTATATATTTGGCGAATTCCCAACCATTCCAACCACCACGGTAGCATACGGCTGGATGAATATATAACAGTTCTTTCAGTCTATTAATTTACATACCAGATAAATCTGTGCTTTCCCTAATTCCGAACCACCGACCACAGAGAAGCAATAGGCTGATAGCAACCACTTGTACTTATTAATATTGTGTGTTATTTTTTATT